GCGCGGTAGGAAAGGACAACGAAGTCTTTGGGCGGATCTTAGGATAGGCACAAGGAGGGGTTAGGGAAAAATAGCTTTAACATGTTTGGTATATTGCTGTAGTATCTCGGTTGGTCTGCATCGTGCAACAAGTAGTTTGATCAGCTGGGTGGAGTGCAAATTCGTTGCAGAGAGGGTTGGTGAGCATCGGTAGTACATTGTTCTTGCCTACAGTACTTGTCATTTATAATCGCACGGTACTTGCGTGTAAGGCGGCATGTACCTCCGTGCCAGGAAAACAACACTATGTTGAGGAAGCTAATGTGTACCGGCAACATGCACATCAGCTGCGGCGTGTCTCAAGCGATTTTTCTCAAGAATGTCACCCTCGAGGTGGCACGGTCAACCGTCGTGCGATCGTTCTTGAAAGGTGTTCATGCCCTACTTTATCGCAGTACCGAATTAAATACCGGAGTGGAAAATGCAAATAGATTACTTTGTTTTGGTTTTTTGCATCACGATGCGGACTGGTTCCCTGGGCGTTGGTACTACGCGGTGCAGCATGGACGTTGATACGTAGGGGCGTGACCCCCCAACGCCTGGAATGAAGCTCACTCCCCTTCCGGCATGTTCCTGTTGCTGTCCCCGGCGTACCGCTCTCTCCTGCCAGAGCGCTGACCAACAACTACTTGAAAAAGCTGTTGCTTGACGCGTATCTGGCGTTTGAAGCCCTCACCGACCACCCTTACGGGTTCTTCAGCTTCATCGACGGTTTTTTTCCGCTCCTTTCGAGTTTTGACGGCTGCGCCAAGCTGGCAGTCAACATCTGCATCGAGAAGTACCTGCAACAGCGCATGAAGCAAGTGATCGACATGGACCTTGATGCCATCTGGCTCGTCATCAGCATGCTGTCGCCGATGGTGTTCGGAATGCGGCTGCAGTTCTCACAAAACACGCCGCTGACTTTTTGCCCCCAAAACCGCAAGTCCAACATCATCGTGGTGCCTGCTCGTGGACATGCCCCGCGTAGCGGAGATGCACAGGCTGCCGATGGCCAGAAACTGATGGAGCGTGTCCGGGAGAACGAGGATGGTCTTGGGCTATCGGAGATTTTGGAGGGCATGTCGCTGGACGGGCTGAAGGGCCTCTATCGTTTGTGCTTTGGGCCGCGAGCGCCGGGAATTAGCAGGTACTTTTCACGAGAAGCTACAGCGATTTCTTTTGTCCATATTGCCAAAATTCTTGAGGTGGTAGCGCTTATTACAGAATGGACCGCTAATTTGCCGTAGTATTTAGTTTTTTTCCCCCCTTTGTTACTCTGCAATGATCATGTTGCGTGTTGTTCGAGAAGAACCAGTGCTTCCGTGAGGCACTATGAGAAAATCGTTTCTTGGTTTCTACGCAGGGGTTGTACTTGTCATGGTTCCACCGCACATTTGAAGTGGCTCAATTGAGGGCTGAGAGGTAGCTCGAGACTATTGCAGTAGTTGATTCAACAGGTATCATTATTCATATCGAAAACATCGACAGCTGTTCGCGCGTTTGTTTTCCGTGTGGGGGAGTATTGGATAGCGTCGGAAATATGGACGCCCGCCGTATGTGTCCAATTTATGCCTTCGGGCCGGGTGTTTCGCTCGTCAAGGTGACGTCTGCTGCAAACCTCCAAACCTGTTCATCTCATATCTCAGGAAAAGATTCGGGACGCCGAAAGTGCTTGCGCACCTATGTTGGAACCTTTCATTTTTCCACACGAAGTAGGGCGTGTTGGCATGTAGAGCAAAGAGCAATTGCACTGCCATGAGCACTGATCGCTCTCATACAAGATTTTCTGTAGGTCTCTTGTCAACTGCCCTCTATCCACTCCCCCCACCCTCAGGTACCCCAACAGGGTGCTGCTGATTGAGCTGTTCAAGACGGTGGAGAAGCTCTGGCGGGAGAACAACCATGGAAAGGAGGATTGCTCAAAGTTCTTCATGGAAAGGGGGGCATGGTTGGTCTCGTCTGGGGTGGAGGGGGGGTACAGCCCGGACGGAGTCCAGACGTGCCATATGTTCATGCTACGGGCGGAGAGCCCCACAGACTTGGCCGTGCTCCTGTTGCACCACGTGGTGAGTGCCCCGTTGTAGAGAAACACAATTATCGTATTGATCACGAGTGCTCGTTCAAAAGATCCCGGACTCTTGAAAACAATGAAAGTCGAATACGTTCGACAGATGGTGAGCAGGCTTTGATTAACGAAGGTGTGCACATTTTGCGTTGGTATAGATCAAAAGTGTAGTTGTACATACTTCCGGTCTTTGTTGCAAAACGACAAGTGCCGATTAGGGCATCTAGCGGGTTTAAGCAACATCTACGTGGAGGAGACAACATGGTCACCTACGAGGTGTCTGCATGCTGCGATGTTCACGCACTCCCAACCTTGAAACTATCGTAGAGCACCACCACGCCGACGCGAAAGTACTCACGGCTGACTTTTGGTTCGTCCACCAGTAATTGGGCGGGACAAGCACAAACCGCAATCCGGTTGTGTAAAGGTCTCTTTCACGACATGTGCTTCTTGGTGTCCTTGCGCTTATGATAAACGACGTACTC